CAAATTTAATAGTTTTTTCCTTTCTTAAAATGTGTATACATTTTTTTGCCACCCTCTGTAGAATAAATATTGGGTTGTCGGAAAACTCATGATGCATTTTTGCAACGAAAAACATGGAAAAAATACGTCATGACTTTTCCGACAACCCAATAATATTTATCTCTCCACCACAAAGAATCACTGTGAGAATAAATGGTTTGATTACTGTGAAAATATTTTTAACCAGAAAAACACAACATAAGGGATAATTATTCTCAAACCACCTGATATCTTTATCTGGCATTTGTATTTATTAAAATGGGCCCCAAACAATTTCAAAGATTTGTTTTAAGGGGGGGGAGGGCACTGCAAAGCACTTGAAAAAGACAGTTCCATCTCTTCATTTATTCTTCATTTACACAAGAGGATGTTGGGACCCAGGGAGGTGAAGTATCTTTCCCAAGGTACACAGAAAGTTCAGGGATGGCAGAGCTGAAGAACAAGGACTAGTCATCCTGATTTTCAGGGTCTATGCTTTTCCCCTATTCCGCATTGCCTTCCAAAAATCTAACCAGCATTTCTTTTCTGGAGGTGGGCTTTCTGCATTGTGGAAGGAGAGGAAAATGGCTTAGCAACGAACAAAAGCTGGCTCACGGCCACACTGACCTTTCAGGATAGAGCTGACTGACAACCCAGATAAGCTGGACTGCAGCACTGCGCACTTGTTCATAGTCATCAGAGAGGAATTTACAGGCCTGCAAACAAGGATTCCAAAAGTCTGTTAGCTTTGTATTCCCCCAAGTGATGTTCAAACTATTTTCACAATGAAGATATAGGGTAGCTGCATAAGGATGCCAATCAAAATATTTGTGGGTGGTTTTAACTTCTTGAGCCTTTGCCCAACAAAGAACTCTTAGCCTCTGTCAGCTGCTCTGCTGACTGTGCATCCTCCTACCCCACATCTGAAAGCAGCATCACAGACTGATAACACAAAAGCCACCTAGAATAGCACATCCTAGCAAAGCCTGCTGGGAGCCCACAGAGCTGCTTTCACAGGCTCAAACACTATCTGTAAAATCAAAGCACAAACTTCTGATTGACAAGCCATCTGAAATAAACATACAATATTAATGCTAAGCTGCCAAAGGAGGCCAGATNTGCCTTGGGCAGACTTAGAGATAAAAACCTACAATTTGTCTGAAAATGTTATAATTTAGGTTCAAAGACTTCTGGAGGCTTATAAATAAGCCTTATTATTGAATAAGAGAAATTAAACATCTTACCATGATTAATTACAAAATAGTGACTGCATTCTAAATAATCCAATGGAGTTGCATACTTGGAAATCACATTTCTTTGCCATATTAGGGCAGTTAGTTTTAGGTAACCAAAAACCAACCTTTTACATGGTTTTGAATTTTTGATACAGCCCACATCTGAAAATTTTCATCCTGCTATAAGCCGAGGAGAATGGCAATGGACTTATCATTTTATTTAGTAAGTCTAAAGACTTATCATTGAATTTAAGTTCTTACAAGAACTGGCTTCTGCTTTTCTCTCGTGCTTTGCCTTGTTGCACATCCCTCACACTGAACATTATTCCCCCATACGAAGAAGTACTAAACTGCTTGTAATTTAGTACGCAATTGTAGTTTAACACAAGGATGTGTGATACTGTACTCTTTCTATATCTCTGATCACATTTTCTCCTTCCTATTTCTTTGCCTAACTAAGTCACACACAGCCTTCAAAACTCAGTAGCTCAGATATCACTTCCTCCATGAAACCTTCTGTGGCTGTTAGGGGTTCTTTCCTAGGAGTACCAGGCATTGTAGTTGACTGCTTGCCTATGACAACCCACCAGACTACCAACTCTTTTAAAAAACATAGACTATGCTCAGTATTTGTTAAGTTGATCAATATGTGGTCTAAAGACCATATGCAGTTTACCTGACCACAGGTTTCGCTACTCGAAAGTTGGAGTGGGGGGGTTTACCTCTTAGCTTACAAAGAGGAACTAGTAAACCAGGGCCTTAACTGCACACCACAGCTCCCCATGTGTAACTGGACCCTAATTAGGAAGGGATTCTATACAGGCTTTAGATCATGAAATGTTATTTACTATTTACATGGCCTTGGACAAATTACATCATTTTTTTAAACCTTAGTTTTAGTATTGATAAAATGAATATTACAATGCCTACCTCAAAGAGTTTAAAAGGATTAAAAATAATCTGCAAAACGTGAATACATATGAGTATATGTATGTATGCACGTGTGCCTGTATATAAGAAAGTGGGTATATGTGCATGTAGATGTGTGTTATGACAAAAAGTGCCTAGTTTAGTAGGCTAGGAACTTGATAAAAGTAACAATTATTATTAGTGGTAAGATTAGATTATTAATTACTTTTAAAATACAAACAGAATTACTATTGTAACTTGGAGCTGTTCGGATTTGCAATCATAACATAAAGCACCTGACTCAAGTCAGCGA